TGAGCATTTTGATCAAATCGATCTAAAAATTTTAAGTAACACTTTATTTTTGTGCACTTTCTTTAAATTAAACCGATGTGATAAAACACATTTCAATTTTTTTTTATCGTCTGAGTCATGTGATAGCCTGGCCTGCTGTTTTATTCATTGCCAAGCACATGGCATCAAAAAAAAAAAATAGCGATGAAGTGTTGCAGATTCCTCTTTACTTTATTTTTTATAGGCGCCTGGGAAGCTTAAAAAATTACAGAAGTTCATTGCAATTATTTTCAAGTGGATAAGATGATGCGTGGGTTTTATGAGAAACATGTTTTTAATTCATATTCCATAATTGTAATAGTGAGTTATTTTATTCTTATATAAAATTACTATATTAATTTTAAAATTATACGCAGGCAAAGAACACTGATTTAGAGGTTTAGGAATTCGAATGTTTACGTTATCGGCAAGCCGTCGAAGGCGGCCCGATTAGGTAACTTGATACTTTTCATAAACAAATCGACCCCAAATATTAAGCGCATTTTCTATAAGATCAGTCTAAAAGTCGCAGTGACCTGTTAAAGTAACTTGTGTTGTTTTATGTGCTTTGTTTTGGATGATTTAAGAAGTTTGAATATTTTGGTGAGTTTTCTCACAGAGCGTACTAATTTTATTTTTAATATTACCATTTTAAAATTATTCATTTACCTATTGTTTCTATTTATTTATCTATTATTTATTAAGGGTTTATACAGGCTAAACCTATTAAATTATTTAACAGTATTAAATAAAAACTAAATAGATAATAAACTAGAAATCATTCATTAGCTAGCATTTAAAAGGTTATTTAAAGACTTAAGGCATTTAAGGATAAACGGCACTGTCTTTTCAGTGTTTAAACCTTTTAGGTTTGGGCTAACTATCTGGTGACAGGGTACCTCGCGCGTCATCCCTTGGTACTCACTGCACGTTCACTATAGTTAGTGCTATTGTCTAGAGTGGGTACGTCGCGCGTTTTCCCTTCGTACTCGTGTGCACAAATAATTATACTCTACATTAGCGAGTTTGTCATTATAATGTATATGTAAATATATATACTTGTCTTGCGTATCTTTTTGGCTGCTAGTTGAATTTCCCAGATAATCGATTAACTGATAAACAAGATTAATATTGAAAATCAAGAATATTCTCAAAATTCAATTATACTAGAAATTAGTTGCTCAGGTATTTTTTTATTTAGTTTCAGAAGTGTCACCCGACTACTCGACATCTTTACTTATTGTTTAGTTTAAAATCAAATTAGTTTATTTGTAAGTACTTTATTTTTATTATTTTACATTTATTTTAATATATCTTTGTCTATTTTATTTTTAATTTTATTCTGCGCCCTAATTTAAAATTTTAACCCCACATAATTTATATACGTTTATTTAATTTCTTTTAAATATTAACCTAACCTTAAATTAAAAAGATTTTATTTCTTAGCTTAAAATCAAGTACAGTTGAAACAAGATGATTGACCTAATATTGTCAAGGCTAAAACTAACATTACTTACTCTACATAACTCTACATATTACATTATTTTACAGTGTAATAATAACGTAACTCTAAAAATATTATATTTAACATGTTAATTTAGACTTTGTAAAAGGTAAAACATTTACACTATAAATTAGTATTTTACAACCGCCATTTGCGTTAAAATTTCCCTAGTTTTCCTCTTGCTAGTGTAATTATTACACTGTAATATTATTTTGGATTAGAGTAAAGTAAACAGTAAGCGAGTATATTTTTACACTAAAAAGAGTTAAATCTACACTATTAGGGTTATTATTTGTGGTAGGGATTGCAAAGCGTCTATAAATTTGTAAACTAGTTTAGTGCTGTTTCCAAGGGCTGTTTAATGGTTCGCTTGTGCGTGGGTGCTGCTGCATAATACGTATAAAATAGGTACATTATTTCTTATTATTTATATTAAAGATATTTATTGTAAAAACTTGAAATGTGATTAGGCAATTTGTCCCAAAACCGATAATAACAGAAACGAGACAATTATATACAAATCCCATTCAAAATGGATGCATTGATTTAAAAGAAACATTTGGATAGAGGTATTTTTACTTGATTTGAATGTAAAGTTTTGTAAAATGTTTTGTAAAATACTCTAATAAACAAAACTATTTTTTTCCCGGGTCACTACCCAGACTACCCTTAACACACAGTAGTGTTAAATTTATGCACTAGTAAATTAAATGTAACACTAAATAACGTTATAATATTTACCCTAGAAATATAAATTATTACACTATCATTAGTGTGAATATATAACTCTAAAAAAAGTCGTGCATGTTTATTTTAAAAAGTATCTATTTTTCTCTATCAGTCTTAGATAAAAAGAGATAGGTAGCATAATCCAGTCTTTACCTTTTGAAATAAACATGCATTAAATAAAGGTTATATCCTATAGGATATAATGACCATGGTCATTATATCCTATAGGATATAACCTTTATTTAATCCAAAAGTAAATATTGTATCGCCAAGAATTATAATGGTTAATTTTCACTAATTTTCACTAACTTATCTCGTAAACCCATTTCCACTGTCATTTCTATAATCTTTATTGACCGTTAATTCCTCTGAATTATTTATAAAACAACCTGTGAATAATTTTATACGGCCCCGGTAATGGGCAGTTATTAGATTTATCGACTTGTCCAAGACAAAATTATGTAACCACTTATCGATCAGTCTAATCTCTATGTTAATTTTATCTACACGTGTGTATTTGAGGATGTTACATTCGTTATTGTATATAATTTAATAATAATTACCCGAAGAATTTTATAATCCAGATTGAAAATAGATTTTCTGTTTAGCTATAAAGCAGTTTCCCTATTAATAAAAGTAGATTGTTATACGGTAGCTGGTAATAAACTAAACATGGTTTTAAATCTCTTCAACCATTAGAAATCTTATTGCTACTATTTAAGACCATTGCAATTTGTTATTTCTCTACTAACATATGCGTCATTCCGCTAACGGTAATTAAAGCCTTATAAAACTTTCGCTTATTTGAGTTTGGGTTTTTTGTTGGCAAGTAAGAGTGATTGAACATTTGATAATATTACATTGTAATTATACTACAACAAAAAAACCCGCAATTTTCTTAGTTTCTTCGAGAAACTTTCTTAACCCGTTACTGTAAAGTTTTAAAAAAATTGAACCTTCACCTCGCCAGAGTTTTTGTTTTAAGTGCGTTCCACCAACTTCAAATACCGACAGACAGCTAGACAGATAGACCTCTTTTGGGTCTTATCAATGTCGGGCAATTTGGTGTATTGGAACACATCAAAAACGAAAGACACCTGAGCTTATATACTGTCCACCTAAGTCGACCGAGGCGAGATGTAAGAACATCACGGGATTGCCGCAATCGGTACATACTATGCATTTTACATAACATTATAGCAAATATGCATTTTACATAACATTATAGCAAATCAAATTACAAACGACGTTTGTAAATCTGGGATGTTTTTTATTAAAAACTGTCAAGTTGTTTATCTTAGATGATTTCCCAAGATTACTCAAATTGTATTATAATTTTGTTTTGGTATACACTGATTTGTAATTTTACTCATCCTTTGTTTTACAAAACAATTGTAATTTTACAAATAATTTTAATAGTGTACATGATTAAAATGATATATAGTAAAAATGAAAAAGAAGTTGTATAAAATAAATAATGATTTGTATATTTCCAAACACTTACTGTAATTCAAATAGCAAATTTTGGTTTGTAATTTTATTGATTATCTTAGTAAAATTAAATTCCAAATATGTATAGAAATTTTACAAAATTTCAAATTCAATTCTACAAAACAAAATTGTAAAATTACTTTGAGTATCTGACAAAAACAAAAACATTGTAAAATTGTTTAGTAGGTACTTTGGCTATAACAAAATGTAATATTACAACAAATGCGTATTAAAATTGCAATACAACATTTTGTAATATGGATACAAAAATTTAAAAAAAAAATAAGAAAAATTTATTTAAATCTATTATTTTTTATTTTGTGTTTAAAAAATTTGTATTTTTCTAATAATTTTTTTTAAATAAATTTGATATTTTATTCAACCTTTCCAGTTAGTTACATTTACATACTTTTATATTTGGTTTAATAATCCAATATTTTAAATAAAACATTCTTTTTTAAGTAAATTTTTTTGAATCAATATTTTAATTATTTACTTTAAGTAACAATTCATTTTTTTAACCTATAGATTTATTAATCCAAGTAATTTTAAAGATTAAGACTGCCCCCATGTATAAACATAAATAACAATATTTTACTACTAATATTTTTAATAATTTGATTAAATATTACGATACTATTATTTTAATAATCAGTGTATTTTATTTTAATATTTTTAGTGGTTGGACCAAAAAAGGTTTAAAGGTTAAAATAAATTTCTGAAATTTTAATTTGTCAAGTAAACTGTTGATTTAATTTTATTCTTTCTTACAAAAAAATGTATTTTTTCAAGTGGTACAAAAACTTTTCTATATATTTCTGTATACAGACTGTATAGAATCAAGTAAGTAAGGCTGGAGACAAGGATGACAAATTATATTCTGATCAGAGAAAAAGAAACAAACTTTAATTGGGCGTGGTTTAAACCAAGCCATTCGTAATTACGAACCATAGTTGCCAGGTTGTTTTAAATCAGAAGAGAACGATTATAATTATTTAATAAATAGTTCAATTTTATTTGTTTGAAACTTTAAAAATAACAAAAAAATTAATAATATGTCAAAAATAATTTGATTTAGTTCATTTTCTTACTTTTAATATAAAAAAAATAAGAAAAACAACCCTTTTAGGAAACAATAATAGCATATGGCAACAGCGCGGCATGCAGCCAGATACAAGGGCATGCAGTGGGCGGGGTTTGGCACTTGTTTTATTTAAGTGTATCTATTCGTTTTAATACACACTGCATTTGTACTCACCAATCAAAACGCAGGGTACCCTCTCCATCCCTCCAGAAAGCTGCGTGATACACAAAAGAACATCGCCGACCAAAAGGCACGCGACGTGGTTGGTCTGGCATCTCCAATGGAGGACGTGGTGGTTTGCGGGTAGCAAGGAGCCCGCCACCAAGGTGGCGGCGAGAAAAATGGCGCTCAGTGCCAAGCCGATGGGGTACAACGTGAACCTCAGGTCCGGTTCTGAGGGTTCTTGGGTCACGCTACCAGAGGGCAGGATGTGCTTGCACGTCAGAATGCTGGGCCGGGAACCTGAAGAAAAAAGATTATTGGTTGGTTTAGATGTCTTTTGTTGATTTTGTCTAAAACATTTTTTCGTATAGTGTTGCAAATAGAGATGCGACTTGAAAAAAAACGGTCCGTTTTTTTGTTTTTTTTTCAGGTTTTTTTTCATTGTTTTTTTTTCAAATGGTTTTTTTTTCACATTTTAGGTTTTTTTTCAAGATTAGTCCCATTTGCCTAATTTTTTATGTTTCCATGGACTAAAATTAGCCACTAAATGACAATTTTTAAATGTAAATACAGTCTCGCGTTATGCACTCGCCACAACCACCGATTTGACAAATAAGGGCCGCGCTTGTTTTGATTTTTGATTCAGCGCTTGATTTTTTAAAAAGCTACCAAAAGCACTTTTTTCATGATTTTTCAAATTTATGTAGAGTATGGATTTTTTTTTAAAACAAAAGCAAATTCTTGTAGAACATTTCTTCATTGGTGGTCAGAACAATCGTGGACCAAAAAAGAAATAAAAAAAATCGATTTTTTTATTACGGTATTCGTTAGAATTGAACGTTGCACGTTTTTCATCTAAAAATCTCAAAACTATAAACTTCAAGCTTCAAATTGCTTTTTTTATGGCTCCAATATGACCATTTTTACAAATATACAGCTATCCGAAAAATCGCAAAAAAAAAAATTTATCCTTTAATTTTTTGTATTAGTGTAGAAGTTTTACATTGCTATTGGTTTTTAATGTGGAAACTACCAAATAATAAGAAATCAGATTTTTTAATCTTGGTCAAAATTTTCAATAATGAAAAATGTAATATATTCTACATTTTACTCAAAATTTCATTTTGAAAAAAAAAACAAAAAAAACCGTTTTTTTTCTAGGTTTTTTTCATGTTTTTTTTTTCACATCTGAAAAAAAAAACGTTTTTTTACATCTCTAGTTGCAAACAAGGAAAAGTTCGGTCGAAAAGTTGGAGGTATAAAAAAATTGTATTTAGTTATAAATAATAATTATTTTTGAGGTATAAAAAAACTATTTATACATAGATAAGCATTATTTAATCAATTTAGTTTGACCTCCTTTCGTTGAGCAGTTATTCATAATGGATTTTTTAACAGTGGAAGAAAAAATAGAAATGATTTTGATTTATAGAGAAGCAGACAGGAATCTTGATGATGCTGTTAATATCTACGTAGTACGCTCAGCGTTTTCCGGAAAAAATTCGATCACGCACTTCATTTCACCGTACAGTCAAGCAGTTTACTACAAACGGGAGTGTTCAACCGAAATAAATTATTAATACTGAGTATATCTACACTGAGATAAATGAATTTATTAAATCAAAAGTTTTGAAAAATGCTCTGCCTTTTGATATTAAAACAATAATTATTGTGTTGACATAAACTTAAATTTTACTTTCACCTAATATTTTGAAAATGTCAAATTAAAAATGTTATTCTACTAGTCCATTTTATTTAAATCAGTGTATCAACACTAAACCTATATTGAATAAATATTGTTAAAAAAAAATGATTAAATCATTTTTTAATATATTCTAATATATTAGGTAAATGGATACAAACACAAAAATTAAACGAATATGTAAAATTATTTTCGTGTTTTGCCTTTACAAGCTTAGAATATTTAGTCAACATATCTTAGTAATTATTACATTTTTTTTTAGTGTAAACTTAATCTTACTACGGTATTTTTACACTTTTACCGCTTTAAAAAACAATATTTTGAAAAGCCAAAAACCACGAATTCATAAATCATTTTTATTTTGGTTCGCCAATTTGAGGCGCTGCGAGATTATTTTTAATCCTTGCGACTTATTCGATTCCTAACAGCGGCTGACGCTTAAAAAAATATTTCGAAATTGTTTCTTCAATAATTTTGCCAATTAGAACCAAGGTTGACATTTATAGCGGCCAATGAATACAAGAAAAATACGAGACTAAATTTTCATGTTTTTTAATTTTTTTTATTTTAATATAAAACAGATGGTTACCTTACATCAAAGAACTCAATTAGCAGGTTGTTAAAGATGCGATTTAAGTCAATTATTTATTTTTTTTATAGAAAAAATTTGCGACAACTTTCAACAGGAATTGACCTCTATAAAACCATTAAAAAACCATCTTTTTACAAAATCCTTATACAATGTAAAGATCATAGAAATAATCTAAATAAAATTGTTTATTTGGTCAAAAAAGCATTAAATAAATAAACAATGCCAAACCATTGTGTGTGCGATTATCAACTTTGAAATTTTTAACGACTATTAATAGCCACCGCGAACAGGGATTTCATTTGTTTTAAAACAGTTGATAAAGTTTATTCATGGAATGTTATTAAATTGACAACTCGATTAAAACGTTCAAATTGAAACGGAAAAGTGGGAAATAATTGAAAAATGTTTGCGTGCCATCGAAACAATTTGCAAATGCCAGTTGCAAAATATTAATTTAAATAAATAAAAAATTCAATTATCGATGTTATTATTATGGTTTATTGTTGATTGAATTAATGTCGCACAATTCTGATCTTTGGAAACTTTAGAAGATTTTAAGGTCAAATAAAAAAAGATAAATTAATTTAATTAAAAAACTATATTGCGAAAATTGACTATCCATATATTATATGCTTTAAGGTTATTTCCACGTAGTGTATGCTCTAAGATTTACTTTAGATTATGGGTGAATCTCACGAAATGTGGTGTTACCCCGTGATATTCAATAAAACTAAATGAGTTTGACCTACACTTTTATTGGGTTTTGATCTTTCATAATTAAGTAGATATTACAGCTCAGGTTCCAGATTTTTAACCGTAATTAATAATTTTTTACAATGTGTTAAAAGTCTAAAACCTATCCTCCGTGACTGATACTCTTTCTAGGTTAACCTATATATTTTTAAATATCTGAGGTAGTAAAAGCATACTAAAAATATCAGTTCACTAAGTAAATTAAACATATTCAAAGCAATCGAATCAAATATAAAATATTATTAAAAATTAAAAGAAATAATTTTTATAACCATTTATGTAGGTGTTACAAAAATTGATTCTATCCTCCGTGAATCTGTTTTTGCTTTAAATTTTATGCAACGGATGGAGCTTTAATCATTTTAAATAAGCAAAAACCTCTGTTTACGACATTATAGATGCATGTGATTCCTGAAGGTCATTTAGAATTTATATGCAGATGAGAGTGTTGCTGTTTTATAATTCAAAAGTTTAAGTTCATTAATTTGCCATTTAAAAACCTATCCACCGTGAAGTGTAATATCTCAGTAAGTAGATTTTTTTTATAAATATTTTATGTATGTACAATTGTATTTTTAAAAATATTAAGGTGTCAAAAGATACAATAACTTATTTCAAATATACAAATGTTTTTTTTCAAATCTTAAAATTAATATTTTAAATTTTTGCCCCCACTAGTAAACCTGATTTTTAAAATTGTATTGTATTCTTTCTATCTGCTTTTCGACCGGATTTTTATAGGTAGATTATATTTTGCCAGACCACGCATTTTATAGTCAAAATATTTAATATTAAAAAAAAATCTAAATAGGCTTGGTCTGCGGCCGAGCACTTACAAATTTATTATATCCACTTAACTTTTAATTACCATCGTCCACTTAACAGACGCGTCTTTAGTTTATCATCCGAGTATCCTGCTTAAAATTTTGAGTCCTCTCAGCAGAGTCATTTATTTTATTTAATTTGACGGAATTTCGAAAGTTTTTCCGCAGCCAGGTTGATTAGTATTATTTATAAACCGGATGAAAATCGTTAGTAAATTTTTTGTGACCTGATTCGAAGAAATTGTATACGTTACGCCCACATTTAATTCTTGCATCAAGGAAGAACGTTATTACAACAAATTCGTCTTATTACTAAATTGTGTTTTTTATTTTAAGTAGTAAAAATGTATATAGAACATATGAATGTATATTGGAACCAATTTTCAAGATTTTATCACTTACTATATGAGTTTTGACAATTTGAAATATGTAAATATGATTTGTCTCCTGTATTACTTATAATAAAAATCATAATCAAAACCAAAATATGCAAATAAAATAAATAAAATTAACGTCGTCAAAAACTTTTTTATTGCAAATACATGGGTTTAAAAAAACATTTAACACGAGCTGAATTACTAAACCAGAAATTAATTGAAGTTAAATAAACAATTAAGCAATCGTGCTATGGCAGCATATTTATGTAGACGGGCTTTAAAAATCTGTCTAAACAATGGAATTTATCGCGGGAATTAGTTCAATAATTTATTAGTAAAATAAAACTTTTAGGTAGGTAAATATATAATTTTTTCGTTTTAAAGATGTGTTCAAAAAAGATTATCATACTTTTGTAGACTATACTTTTGAAAGATATTTTTATTAAATACAATTTAAAAAGGTATGAATAAAAACAAAATTAAAAAAAAAAATAGCTTTGAGGCAATATTACTTAATTTAAGTAAATATTTCGTTAAATTAAGCTTAAAAATTTTCTTTGAAGTAAAACTTTTTTTAAAGTCATTTATTTATTATTTTTGCCTATTTTAATAACCCTTAATTTTCAACACTTTAAAGTATTATGAGAGAAGTAATTTTTACGAAAGAAAATTACTTATATTATATTTCACCTAAAGGAAAATTTTTAGAATGGGGAATTTTTACTTAATGGTAAATATTACTCATAAGTCGAAATTTTGCGATATTTAGACCACTTTATAACCGTAAATAATTTCTATTCGCCCGGTATTTTTTAAGGTTATTAGTGGTAATAAATACTATTAATATTGACCCAAAAGGAAAAATAAGCTTAAAGTAAAAATAAAACTTTAAGGGAAAATTTTGTTCAGGTCGCCATAATGAGTTTTTTAAGATGGAATCGATTACTTATCTAAACATTTATCTAATATTTTTTCATAAATATTTTTCTAAAATATAATACGGAAAGTTTAAGTTATTAAAAAATGATTAAAACTAAATGATTTTATAAAATTTTGTGGGTGTTTTTGTTAAATTTTTACCCAAGCAATAATTTTTCTTAAAACAGTAAAATATTTAGAGGGTATATAATTTTTATCAATGAAATAATATGCGTTTGAGTTTTAATGCAAAATATTATTAGTTTTGACAATTTAAGTTATATTTTTTAATTTTACTCTAGGGTGGCCTTTATTACTTTGTAAGTACCATTTTGTAAAGTATAAATTAAAAGAACAAAGAAATTACGAATGTCAATGTTTTAGAAAGAGAGAGCAAACAATTAGTAATTATAGCGTTATTTTTACGTAAATTTGTTGTATTTATATTGTTTTTATTACGGTACTCTTAGTATATCAAAAAGGTTATCATGTAGATAAAATAACGAAATAAACCATTCGCCAAATTTGGTAATTTTTCGTATCTATACCGTTATAAAACCGTTTTGGTTAACCGTAAAAAATACTTTTAAAGTTGACTTTCTAGTAAATTTGTAGTTATTTAAGCTTAAAATGCTGCTTGGGAAATGTTAAAAATTTAAAAGAATTCGAAAATTTTGTAATTTCAAAACTTTTTTAAAATTCATCCCACTGTGCAAATTTTTCCGATTTTTTTTTTAATTTATGCCACTGTGAGAATTGTCCTACTATTTCTTAAATTTACGCACTGTGCGAATTTCCACACAAATTTATGTCACTGTGCGCATTTTTTAATTATCCGATTTTGTTCGAATTTGGACATTTTTCAATTACCCAAAACATAAATTTTAATGTGCATTTTTCAAAATTATTTTGTGATGTACATAGGTACCTAAGAAAACGAGTTTTTTAGTTACTTGTGGTGTTGAAATTTAAATGACCCAATATAAAAGTTGAGCTGTTCATAAAATTAATTATTGAGTTCAAATTAGGAAAAACTAATTAGCGAGGTTATTTATATCCAGCATTTCCTATTAAGGAAATTTAATAAAATAAATATTCCTCATTACTAATTACTTGCATGAAACATAACTAACGAGGCAGTCATGCCACTTTTTTCTTTGCCGCGTAACCGATTTTATACCATGGGTACCAACAATCGGAAAGGTTCGTTTTTATCGTGAATTCTTAAAATACTGAACGTCCGTGGGACCGTCATAAATTTTCTCATTGACCCGACCACTTAATTTTTATCGCTTCGCTGGAAGAACAAAAAACGAAAAAATCAACCAAATTAGTCGTCGGATCTTTTTTCATCGAGCATGCTATGCAAACAATTGACGTGAGGGAATCCACCGGTGCCATGTTGTCAAATCTTGCGACTTAAGAATGTTGATCAGTGTAGTTTTTAGTAGTAATAATTATTATGGCCCCGATAAGAATACTTGAATGTAAACAGTTATAAGATAATTTCGAAAATTTTCTTCCTCTATTTATTGTGACAAGTTCATCGGTTTTATCTATTTATTTTTACAAGTAAAGTATGTAATTTTAAATGGGCAGGAACGGTGATATCATACAAGTTCTTTGAACCTGAACTTAAAATTAAAAAACCTACACATAAATTGATTTTGTTGGTTTTCAATAATAACATTATAATCTGTGTGTGGGCTAAACAGATTCGCAAAATGTTTGTCATTTTAAGTGGTGTCGTCCCATCTCGGGACCTCCCATCTCGGGACCTAGGGAAAATGTACCTGTTTCTGTGCCATCTCGGGACCGAGTCTACAGGTACAAGTTTAAAAGTGCCATCTGAGGACCCAAGTAAAAGGATTACTTCGCGGTCAGTTTTTACATGTAAGCATTGAAGGAATATTGTATTATTTTGCAAAATTATTAAACAGCGTCTATTTTATGCTACTGCAAATATATTTTTAAAACTATAATATTTTAAGCGTTAGAAAGTTATATATCTTTCAATCCATTTTATGGATAAACAAACACAAAACATTTAAAAATCAATCCTATGGGGGGGGCCAATGGGGCGGGGTCGGTAGGGTTGTGTTGTTGAGTTTGCATGGCTAATTTTTGCTGTGTTTAATTAATATCTATTTTTTACAAGTTTTCTTTACAATTTTTGCTTTTTTTGAATTTTTATTGCATTTTTGTCCATTTTGTTGATTTTTGCTCATTTTGTTTTTTGTTTTGTTGTGCTGTTAATATAAAATAAGTTAAAGTGTCCTGTTTATAACAAAAAGCCGTGCAGCCGCCTTAAGTATTTTGTTTATGACAGGTATAAAAATGTATTACCTTGTATAGGTCCCGAGATGGGACTTTTTAATTTTGGAAACTTTATGGCTTAGGGTCTGGGTCCCGAGTTGGGAAAGGTCCCGAGATGGGAGGTCCCGAGATGGGACTAAGCCATTTTAAGTACAAATAGTTTTTCCGAAAACTTTAGGTAAAAACATAAAATAAATAAAAAATGCTGGAACTAAAGGTTGTTTTTTCACGAAAGCCACAAAATTTACAATGATCACCGTTACAAACAAACATTTTGTAAACAATGAAAACATTTTAAAACTGGTTAAATGGGACTCATTGTTAAAAATGATTTAGGTAAACAATGAGCTGAATGTGTCGAAAATACCTATGCGTTTTTGAGATAAATAAATAGATTACTTTTTGTTTTATATTTATGGTAGGTATAAAAATATTTTTAAGAACAGGTAGGTATATTTTAACTATTTAAATGCTAGTTTTTACCTGAATTCTTATTTTTTTACTTACGGGGCGATAATACTAAAATTCTTAAGTATTTTATAACCTAAAAACATGATTTAGGGATGGCAATAAAAAATATAAAAAGTTCGTAAATTAAAATAACACAAACTGTTTTATTTCTTGGAATTTTAAAATAATTTAGGCCAATACAAAAAATGTGAAAACCTACATAAAATTTCTAAGAAAAACGAAATTAATAAACAAATAAAATTAAATCTTTTTTGCGAATTGATGTTTACATACCCCAAGATTTCCAAGAAAACATAAAAAATGTTGTTTTGATAGATTCTAAGACGGTTGCAAAAAAATATAATATAAGAAGTATTTAATGGTTTGAAATTTTTATTTTTGTAAATAGGTATTTCGGAAACTCGACGTTCAATTGTTTTTCTGTTTTTACCATTTTAATCAGAAGAAAAAAAGCCATCAATATATATATACATATTAGGGTGGGTCAAAAATTTTTTTTTTACCTTGTACTCTGAAAAATCGGTTACTAGACACCTCTATAGAGAATTCTTACGAAACATGAGCTCTTAATTTTGATAACAAGGTCCTCCGCTTTACAATTTTCCATTTTTTCCTCAGTATTAGAAACAAAATTTTCGTAAAACTCAAAATTAAATTGAAATTTTTCGAATTATTCATCAAAAACTGTTAAAATTAGTATGCATTGAAGTTTGACGATGAATATCTTTTAAACGCTTAATTTAATCGACAAATCATAAGAGACCATTTTTGTAGAGCAGTTAATTTCCTACAAAACTATGAGTTGCGCGATTCATAAAAAATGTTGTAAGCGAGTTATAAAATTCATAAGCAAAACATAAATTTCTCTTAAAATAATTAAACTTGAACCTTCGATATCTTTTTAACGGTGAGGTTTACGAAAAAATTGTAAGAGACCTTTTTTGTAGAGCGTTTGATTTCCTACAAGAATATGAGGAGAGGTATTTTTTAACGAACAGTTGTCGAAGAGATATAAATTTTTGTTTCTAATACTGAGGAAAAAATGGAAAATTGTAGAGGTGTCTAGTAACCGATTTTTCAGAGTACAAAGTAAAAAAAAATAGTCGGTTTTTTTGACCCAACCTAACCCAATTTTTGACATGAAAGAGAAAGTGACATGGATAATTTTCTTTTTCACAAAATGTAATACAATACCTACTAAGTTCGTGTAAAATAGAAGAATACCTATCTATAAAATGTCATGTAAAACAATGTTACCATATCGTAAAAACATAAGATATCAATTTTATAAGAATGTAGATATAATAAATTCTTCTATTATCCCACTATAGGTATAATAAAATTCACAATGCAGACATTTGCATTTTTGCTTATAAATATTAATAATTAATAAGTATTAATAATTTTTCCATTTCCTGTTAAAAATTCTAGGGAATTAGATAAATAATTAAATAACCACGTACGCATTCCAATAAGAAGAATAAATGAGGAGTGATTTTTCAAAAGGCCTTATTTCCATTTTTACTTGAATGTAATTTTTTGACAAAATCCCAAAGGTATGGTTAAAAGGCATATATTAACGGCGAAATATGACAGCAGGTCTGAAGTATTATTAAATATTCATCAGAATTTTTTTTGTAATAATCTATATTGCCCTAACCTATACAGGTTATAGTCATTTTTTTGAAAAATTGTTGCAAATGGAAATACGACCTTTTGAAAAATCACTCCTCAAATGGCAAACATAACCTCATACAAGTTTAAACACGTAAAACCCAACATAACCCAACAATTTCAAAATCGCCTTACCTACCTGAATTTTCCAGTATATGATCCAAACAAAACTCCCCTTTTTCCAGCAGGATCTTGCTTTCCGTCAAAAACAAACTTCCGTTGTTTTGGATCTGCTTCAAGTCGAATTTTCCGGCCACGATTAGGTCGGTGCAATTCGGAAAACCCATCAGCATGGTTTTATCAGGGCCGACGTTAAAATTGTAGGCCTCGTTCTTGAAGGCGAAGCACGTCCTGTTCTTCTCGGAAAAAATCGCGTTCGAGCCGCAGCATTTTTTCACGGTCGGTTTGGCAACCGCGCTGGGTTCAACGCAGAAAATCGCGGCGTTGTAGTCCAGGCACAGATTTTCCGGGTGCACGGTCCTGTCGAATTCCACGAAATAAACCGAACCGTTCGCGAATGGTACGAAGTTATTTCTTGCACTTAGTGATAGAACAGTTTCTGGGCATTTTGGTTTTGACGACTCGCGTATTACCCAATGGTCAGGGATTTTATTTTTTAATATGGTTTTCCTTCGCGGCTGTATGACCCGTATCTGCCAGGTATTACTATCACTGGGCACACACGACTTATTCGAACTCAAATACTCGTTCAGCTTGCAACACTTGTTGATCGTCACGTTCGGCAACGCCGCACCGGCGTACACCACCGCGAAAAAGCAAAAAATCGCCGTTGCTTTGGCCATTTTCACTGATAAACAACGGAAAACGTGGCGTTGTTTACAAACGCAACTGTCATTTGGGTTCGCGCTGACTTGAAGACGCGCGCCAGTCGACTGTTTTGGATTTTCCTTCTTCCGATTGGAGCGGTTAACAGTTGCAGTGGTGGACCGGTCGCGGCACTCTAGATGCCCCCCACTTTATTGTTGTATACATTCGAGTGACTGCCGATTTCTTACCTTGCCAAGCCCTAACGCCACGATTTAGCACTGTGTATTCTATTCTAGTAAATTTAAAAATCATACAAAAAAAATTAATTAATTAAATTATTAAATACATAATATTAATAATAAAAAATAAAACTAATCAGAAAATAAATATTTACAAAATAGAAATAAAAAAATAACTGAAAAAGTAAAATTGCAATTAATAAAATACAAAATGTCTTAAAAAAAAAACAATGCAAAATAAAAAATAAGGTTGAAAAACAATAAATAACCAACAGAACACCTAAAAAATCTTAAAAACCATAAATAACATGATTAATGGATTTTTTTGTGTATTCAATTTGGTGTTTTTTTTTAATTAAAAACAATTTTACTTTTCCATTTTTCATAAAATGAAAACATCATATAATAACCTTAAAGTTAATTGTTATTAACAAATTTTAACTTTTTATTTTTGAAATGTAATTATAAATTTGTTTTCAATACTTTTATATATATAAATAGGTAGTCTTAAAACAATAATTGGTTATTATTAATAATATAAAAAAATAAAAAGTCCTTTAGTTCTGTATACAGTGTGTCTACTTCAGTTGGCAACATATGGGAAACTTTTTTATTATTAATTTTAAGAAAAAAGGTATTCTTCATAAAAAGTTCAGCCTGTTCTAAAATCATTAGATATAAAAAAATATCAGTCGTATACGGGGTTAGTCAAAAAATATGAATCTCACTCAAGAGTAAAGTACCTTTATATTTGACAATATCGAAAATTCTTATTAAAAAAAGTTGATCAGAACTAAAAACTACGTTCAAATATGCAATTAATCCATTTTCATGGACACACTGTATACATAACCTTAAGTTAATTGTTATTAACAAATTTTAACTTTTTATTTTTGAAATGTAATTAGAAATTTTGTTCAATACTTTTATATAAATAAATGGGTAGTCTTAAAACAATTGGTTATTATTAATAATATAAAAAGTCCTTTAATTCTATATACAGTGTGTCTACTTAATTTGGCAACAGTTTTTTATTATTAATTTTAAGAAAAAAAGTTATTCTACATAAAAGTTCTGCATGTTCTAAAATCTAAAATACAATCATCGGATATAAAAAAATTTCAGTCGTATACGCGGTTAGTCAAAAAATATGAATCTCACTCAAGAGTAAAGTACCTTTATATTTGACAATATCGAAAATTCTTATTAAAAAAAGTTGATCAGAACTAAAAACTACGTTCAAATATGCAATTACTTCCATTTTCATGGACACACTGTATACATAACCTTAAGGTTAATTGTTATTAACAAATTTTAACTTTTTATTTTTGAAATGTAATTAGAAATTTTCAATACTTTTATATTGTATAAATAAATAGGTAGTTTTGAAACAATTGGTTATTATTAATAATATAAAAAAAATAAAAAGTCCTTTTTTCTACTTATTGGAAATATATGGGAAACTTTTTTATTAGTAATTTTAAGAAAAAAAGTTATTCTTCATAACACGTTCTGCATGTTCTAAAATCTAAAATACAATCATCACATATAAAAAAATGTCAGTCGTATACGGGGTTAGTCAAAAAATATGAATCTCACTCAAGAGTAAAGTACCTTTATATTTGACAATATCGAAAATTCTTATTAAAAAAAGTTGATCAGAACTAAAAACTACGTTCAAATATGCTACTTCCATTTACATGGACACACTGTACACATAACACTTAAAATTGTGACAAAAATTAAAAAAAAATTTTTTTATATTTTTTGTTTTATAAAAGTATAATAAGTAGGTATATTATACTTATTAAATTTTTATAAAACAAATTTAAAAAAAATTAATTAAAATTTAATATAAATTAATATAAAAAAATTCAAGGATCAGTATTTAAATTCTTTAAAAAATACATAGGTATTGAGCGTTGACAATAATAAAGCTTGATAAACAAAATTTCATAAAAAATGCTGAAAATTTAGATTTTTATTTCTTGGGTTCCATCATAGACCCTCAAAATATAAAGCAAATCAGGTAAATTTGGCAGCTTGGGCTGCCGCTACGTCGATGCGGTAGCGCTTCAGTTTGGCGAATAGAAATGTGCAATGGCTATTTACAAAAGCTTTCTCCGGCCTTTGTCGTCAAAGTAAATACATTACTGGTAAGTAATCTTCAAATTATTAATAGATCTAAACTGCCAGCCAAAGAACCATTTGCTGCATTATTTTCATTTATTTATCGGTTGGTAATTGACCTAATAACTCAAGAAATCCTAGAATTAAACAGGAAATGCAGTTCATGAATCAAAAGGTTTTTGTAATGTTGTTTTTGAGTGTTACGTACGTGCTTATTAAATAATAATTATTGTGTTATTAATGTTGAGTTTAACCACAATTAAATAATTGTTGGGTGCGTCTCAAGAGCAAATTCTTTCATTTTGCAATGTTGTCATTTTTTTTGTTGAAAACAAATTGTTATTGTTTATATAATATAAAGTAATCCAGTGTTTTTAGAACATTTTTTGGTTTAATTAAATGTTTTTATACTGATAATACCCAATAAAAACTTATATTAAACTTTTAAATGTTAAACAAACAAACCTGACATTGATCAATGTTGACATTTGTTTTCGGCCGGTTTAAAACAGGCTTAAGCCTAATAATTCCAATATCATAGGTCGTTATTCATGTGTTATGTTTCGGGCGTCGGTTGAAGCGTCGCCCTGGCGTCGGCGTCGCTCGTAAATATTCCGTATAAATTAATAAAACCATTGATGAAACTTCAATCGGCATTTATGGGCGTCACGCCGATATGAAATAGCCCTAAGGGGTCCCGCTAACGTTAATCCAAATGAAGCCAAAACGAGTTTAGACAAGGGAGGTTGTCTAGTCCCTTTTTTGTTATTTGCAAATAGGAAAGCCTCCATTGACCTACAAAATATAGAAAAATGCAGTTTTGCTTTTAAATTTTTATTTAATTTAACCTTTGACGTAAAGCGTTTCTTAGTTAGAAGTTAGTTTTAAGTTAGTTGACAGTTTCCAAATGTCACACATATTGTTTTATAGATGTCGCTACATAAAAATATTTAATTGAATCATTTTTAGATAAATAAACAATGTCTTAAAAGTCTAAAACCTATCCTCCGTGACTGTTACTCTTTCTAGGTTAACCTATAGGTTTTCAAATATCTGAGGTAGTAAAAGCATACTAAAAATATCAGTTCACTAAGTAAATTAAACACATCCAAAGCAATCGAATCAAATATAAAATATTATTAAAAATTAAAAGAAATAATTTTTATAACCATTTATGTAGGTGTTACAAAAATTGATACTATCCTCCGTGAATCTGTTTTGCTTTAAATTTTATGCAACGAATGGCGCTTTAATCATTTTAAATAAGCAAAAACCTCTGTTTACGACATTATAGATGCATGCGATTCCTGAAGGTCAGTTAGAATTTATATGCAGATGAGAGTGTTGCTGTTTTATAATTCAAAAGTTTAAGTTTATTAATTTGCTATTTAAAAACCTATCCACCGTGAAGTGTAATATCTCAGTAAGTAGATTTTTTTATAAATATTTTATGTATGTACAATTGTATTTTAAAAAAATATTAAGGTGTCAAAAGATACAATAACTTATTTCAAATATACAAAGGGATGTTTTTAAAAAACATACAAAATCCTAACCTCCGTGAAGCTCTAATATTAAAAATGTATGATTTCTTAAAATTCTTGCATTAGTGCAGAACCACTTATCTTACGTTATCACTAGACCTGGTGGCTTCCCAAAAACCCCATTCTAGTCTAACAGTGAAACAACCAAAAATAAAAAATAATCATTTTCACTTGGGGGCATCTCAATATATTCACCGATGTACATATGAAACAAAATAATAAAAATATGGTTGAATAATACGTTTTTTGTCTATACTTTCGAATGTCGATGGTTTTAATGCACCTCGGGCCATATTTTAAATGAAGATAAGGGTTGGTGAAATGAGTTTTAGAGACTTAAATCTGTAATTACCGAGAAATAATACATTTCCAAATTACCACTCTAAAAGACAAAGGGCTATAGCCCTTTATATATAATATAGGTATTCTAATATAAAGCCATTGAAATAAGAGAAACCTTATTTATATAAAATAACTTTATAATTAAGAAACTTGCAGGAAAAATCTTTCAAACTAAATTAAATGTTTGTTCTGCTTCATTTAAATATATCGAAAAGTTTTAATGGAATGGAAACTTGTTAATATGTTTTAATTTAACAATTTCCTGTTCATTTTAATGCCATTTCCAATTCGCAAATAAATTTCGCCAATTTCATATTTCAGATTAGCCAATTTCAATTTAGTTTATAGGCACTCGAGGAAGCGGATTTAATATTTCGGAGTGGGATTTCCCATCTCTATAAATTGTGATTCGATTTGCAAATACATCCAATGCTGAATTAAATTTAGATATTTTATATACTTAAAGTATTTGGAAACCGACAACAAAAATCCAGAATAAATGTAATAAATAGAATTATAAGATTCAAAACAAAAATAAATTAAACTTAATAACTTTGTAGCAAAATTCACATTGTAGGTATTTTGATTTAAATTTTATATGTTGAGCATTCATAATGTGTATTGTTTCATATACATGGAATAAATAACATATATGTGAAATAAACAGCATTTATATTTTGCTTTATTGATCAAAGAGGGAAATACCATGTTGTTTAATTCTGGAAATTGCTTTTGGCCGGTCTGGTTTGGAACAATACAATACAATTTAAACCTAAAAAATTTGATAACTTAAAATATATTTATACATGTCTATATTTCTCAATATCAAGCTCTGGGAATAAAAATCTTATCCAACATTCAACTTTAGATTAATCAAGATTCAAGGGGTGAGAAACCCTGATTTTTTATTCATCTCAACCCCACATTCAATACGTATAAATCACTCCGCAAACAATGTATAAACAGGCACTGCAAAATAAAACCATAGAAAAAGAATAAAACTGTCATCGAAACTTGATACACTATTAAAATTTTGTTTTCATAGGGAGAAAACACCAATGATTTTTATATTGAACATGTACTCCACATAGCATGTAAATAAAATACTATGCTTTGTAAAAGAAGAAACCTGTAATTTAAGTCAATAATAGTGACTGCATTGATCAACGGTGATGGTGAACAAAGGCAACCCAACATACTTACATAAGTTTTAGTTGCATATCTATGCTTTATTAAAATATATTTCGGTATATTATTTTAGGTCATAAAAATAAAACAAATTTTCAATTATCTCATTTATCTCTACTAAAGACATATAAATTACACCATTACAAAAAAGTATAAAAAGATTTTGCAAATCAAGTCAAGTATTATACATATTTACACAAAAATTACATTACACATTAAATAATTTAACAATCATTTCACTTTCACATTTTTTTACAACACAAATTGATTTATAAAATACAATTAATTACTCAAATGTCTAAAAAGTACACATTTATAAATGTACAGTACAATGTTTTAAAAAGTGCTAAATAGTAGTAGGTAACCTTTATATAAAGTTTATAAATGGTATATAAGTATATATTTTTGAGAGCAGGGTGGTAAAAAAAGATATAGTTTTTTTTGTTCTAACATTAATCCACAATGGCAATGAAAAAATAGTACGAATCGTAGTGTGAACTATACTTAATGGTATTGACAGATTGTTTTGGTTTTGAGGTTAAGTTTGCATTTGCCTTTAATTTAGTATGTTAACAATATTTAAAATCATATTTATGAGAGTGTGTAAAATATAGCTCTAATTTATTATTTACAATTATCTTTTTTCATTGTTTCACTAGTTTCACTGGCGGAAAATTATTGTTATTATTCAACTAGCTTAGGTACTTTGTTTATTGTTGAGACAAAATAATCGGTAAGAAACCTAGTAAAATTGAAATTATAATTTCCTTATAAGGGTTGGGTTGTACTGAATTTTTATTTCAGTATAACCTAAGGAATTTTTGTTAGATCGTAAAAAAACGATATAGCTTTTTTTAGAAACACCCTAATACCTATAGCCTGTTCGCCTTCTAAAAGAAAATATAACTATATTTTGATGGCTGCTTTAAAAAATATAAAAAAACGTATGGTGATAAATTATTGAACTCTTAATACGAGACCTTGGAATATCATTATAGCTGTATATATTATGTCTTTACCAAACGAAATTTGAGTACAGTATTGTAACCAAAATCGAAATAATCATTTTGATATCATTCTCTAACAAAAGTATGTAAACAAACAGCTCCATTCTTCAGAAGGTTACTAAGGTATATTATCACATGCAAAGAAACAGTAACTAACGAAAAATATTTCCAAATATTCTCCTTAGTTGAAAATCTATATACAATGGTTCTATAATTTGGTAACAACCTCATTAGGGCCTATTGCGGACCCTCCTCAACTTTTGCTATATGATCTTCTGCTGCAAACTCTTCTTGATGTCGATGTCCTGATCGATACCCAACCCAGAATCAGAATGCTCGTGATGGTTTTGATGGTTCTGATGATTTCTGTGGTAATTACTGTTGTCGTGGCCGTTGTATATACCGTTGATATTGCTGTTGTAATACCCTGAAGGTTGTATTGGGTCTGGAAGACCTATTAGCGAGTTGCTGTTGGTATCCTCTGGGTACGAGAAGTTCGTAAGCGCTTCGTTCAAGTAGCTGTGGTGTTGGGTGTACAGAGGGTTTTTATCGAGATATTGGTGCAGATACGGGGAATGATTGTTGGTCATTCTTGTTGTTTTATCCTCGGTGGGAGTCTTGTTAATGTTACCTTTCAGTTTAACGTGCTTGGAGAAGTTTGTTTGGACTGTCGTGTACGGTATTTCTTTCAGCTGCAAGGCACTCATCCCGCCTGTATCCACGAGATCGAATTCTAGATGTTTTTTAAGCTCCTCGTTAAGCCACGACTTTGATTTGGCATCTCCCGGCGATCTAGATCTGGATCTGTGCTTTCTGTGCTTGTGTTGTCTGTTGTACGTGTCGGTAGAGGTGGCTCGACGGTCATGAGACTTGTTTCTGACAACGTTCGCTTGCTGAATGTTCGCCAACTCGTTCTTCTGCACTTCTTGCCATTGGTTCTGAGAATCCACCAGCTCGTAGTAATTGTCGGACTTCCTGCTCCGTCTGTCGTGCGATTTGGACTCGTATTCGGAACCGCTGTCGCGTTTGCTCCGCGACTTCCTTCTCCTGTGCTTCCGGCGCGATCTCGACGAGCTTTTCGACAACTCGCTCTCGTTGTCCGACGTTTTCGATCTGTGTCGTCTCTTCTTGCAAGACCTAGAGTCGTTGGAGCTCTGGCTGTCAACACTGCTGGATCTGAAGCGACCCGATCGCACCGATCTAGGGCTGGGCGGCGCTGAGCTGTTGTACAGCCCTTTGCTGTGCGGCTGCGACCAGGGCGCGCTCCTCGTGCTTCGCGGCGAATCGAACTTTTTGCCGCTCTGAGTGTTATAGGGCGAGTTTTCGAAGTTCTCCACCGGCAGCGGCAGCGATATGTGTTTTACTTCCTGCGGGTGGAACTGCGATGGCGCGTTGGGCTTTTCCACCGGCTGAATTTGCTCCTGGTTGTTTCGCTCGTTGTAACGTCTTTGGAATTTCCTCGATGGGGTTCTGGAGAATGCGGGGGGAGATCGGATCTTCATTTGGGCGTCGCGGACCGCCTGCTTTTCCGTACGACCTGAAACAAAGAAATTTTTTTGTCATAACTGTCTTAATGGCTGCCCGGCACTGAACAGGTCCAAAAGACCGAAAGGCTGTTTGTACACTCGAAACTAAACCACGGTGGGGAGGTAAAAGGCAATTTATTGAAAGTACCGTTACCGTGAAAGCTGAAACGCATCAAAAACACCCCTTATATAGGGCAGGAGGAATATCCACCAAGGGAGAGGGCACTCACGGTGTGTCATGGCCGTCAACACTTCGCTACGGAAGACAAGACTCAGTATCACACAGGGGGGCAAACAATTCTAAAGAGGTTACCAGGAACCTGATACCGACTCGGACAGAGATGTTCAGTAATACACCAACAGGGACAGGTTCTAGCAGCGTACTAACACTTCTACCCCCATTCATGAATCCCAATTGAATGGGGTTATTACTAAGGCCCCGGTTGAGGAGGATTCCGGATTGTACTTAGTTTTGTGTCAGTTCAATGTCCTCCAAAAACCCTTCCTAAATTGGACGTATTGCCCGACCCGGCTGACAAAAATCCGTGGAGCGGCCTTCTACCAGCCGGCGTAAAAACTTCGGATCCAATAAACACAGGTAATGCTGTGATTTGGCGGGATACGCAGGAGAACGGAAAGGGGGTAAAATAAACCTTGGAGATTAGTGGAGGATAATGTCTTTGAGGCCTACCATACGTTCCCTTACTCATACTCATACTCATATAAGGTGATTCTCCCAACTTATTCATTTGAAGTTTATGGAGAACGGAAGAAGATATTGATTTGAAATTTGTATTGCAATTATAAGCCAATGTTAAGTATTTTTTTAAATTATTTTCAATTCTACGTAAAATTGTAGAAATACTGAAATTTTTTTATCTTGAGATATTTAATTTCACACTGTATATACAATAACTAAAAAGTATTAAAATTGGGCACAGAACATAAAACTTTAAGTCAATTTAACCTAACTGAATAACTTTAATAGCAGATGCACAGAATGGATTTTGTTAACTGTTTTTTCTATGCTTTCACATCACTGACTGATATCACATCTGCTGTATCTAAAACAGGTGACGGCCTGAATTAAAGGAATTACTATTTTTGTTTTGTTATAGTTTGTCTGGTATATATGGGTGTTAATTTGAGGCAATTTGTTGGCTACCCACAATATGCAAATTCAAGATTATTTATTTGTAAGGTCAAGTTTATGCATAAAAACTTGTAAAAAACAATCAAGGACTTAAACATAAAAGCAAAATTATATGGTACTATTACATTATATTAGAAGTAGAAACTAAATCAATAGGTGGGAAGTCATTTATATGGTCGACACGGTAACAAAGGCGGGTATAAAGTTCACTGCCTTTTTAAGACTAGTTTTACTTAATACTGTTACAACTATCATGTTACCATTGATTTACAAGCAAAACTTTGACATGGGATATAAAAACAATCAAAGCTCGACTATATTTACCAGTACCCAATAATTAAATACATTGTACCTAGCTGTCATGGGAAAATCAAGATATGTTTTACTTATGTGCGCTTGTTTATAGAATTGTAGCAACTATATTATCTGCGATGAACTTTTTTGAAGGCAACCATGGGAAAATGTTTCTTAAAGATGATTCGAGGGTTTACCAACACCTGTTGGGGCTAATACGTTAAAGAACAGGTGCCAACATGAAAATACACAGGGTGGACTAAAAGTCAAAATTTAAGCCTATAACTGTAAAACAAATCTTGGAAGTATTCCCCAACACCAAAACAAAACAAAAAGTGCTTTGCCAACGATGTTGGCATCTTCAGATGCGAAGTGTAACTGAGCAGTTTGAAAAAACTGTTTCAGAAAAACCATCACATAAGGTTTTTACCCAAAACTACCAGGACAGCGGCGAGATGTATCGGCAAGTCAATCTGGAGACATCTACCGTCTAAATTTACTTGCATTGGTGCATTAGTCATTGGACCATACCACTCGGCTCAGTGACGAGATGGAAGGCACTTCAGTCTTGTAACATGGGTTGCATACTACTGGCGTAAAGTAGTAAACCTATTACTCTGTAACTAAAATATGTGACAACAAACTTACCACTGTATCTAAACCTGGACCCCAAAGCGAAAATGTCAGGACTAGTCGGTGTAACTTGCACTAATCTGAAGAACGCGTGGTGTTCCACACAGCACTTCCATAAATGTTTACAGGCAGACTTTGAGGGCGTTTCAAAACCGTAGGTGCACTCGTCGTTGTTTTTATCGGTCACGCGGAGCATAAAATACTTCCCCTTGAAGTATATTTTCGTTATCCTCGGCCAGTAGTAATTACCTACTGTGTTTTTGTTGCGTAGCACTATGATACCGCTCGGGGTTAAGCCTAGGAAGTATTCCACGTGGTCTTCACCTAACACTGGGTGTAAATCCACCCCGTAGTTTTCCAACCATTTGACTTTATCCAAGTAGTTTATCTCTGCTGACGATGGAAGTTGCCCCACCAACGTCTGATGCAGCTCGGCCATCCTCATCTCCAACTCCACACTCTGATTGGGTAGAAATCTGAACTCCGACACGTATCCAGGGCTATGCCGCCTGGGATCATAATCGCCCAGCTCTGATTGTAATATATACGCCCCTAACTCCGCAGCCAGCTCGAAAGGCACCAACAGTCGCCCTTGCAGGATGTCCTGCTTGATTTGCAGGAAGAACTGATACCTGGTTATCTCCTCCAGCAACTTGCAAGGATCAGCCGCGTAGAACTTAACCCCGAAATACAACGTGTAAGGATCGGGACCTTTGATTTGCTTGTTCAACTTCTTCGATGGGTCTAACCAGTGCGTTTGTCCGTTGAGATCCAGGTATCGAAGTCCGAAATACGCGGTTTCCAGCAGGTTCAGGTGTCTAAACACTATGTCCAGCAAGGCTTGTCCTCTAGAGTTGTTCTGTAACTCGTGCACCAACTCAGTTTCATCTAGGAACACTATTTTACAGTGCACTGATATCGATTTTGAGCAAAAGCAGTTCATGATGGCGGTTTTTGGTCCTGATCAGTTGAAAAATCTGAAACAAAGACAAATTAGATGTTTTTTCATGATATACAATCATTTTATAAATAAAGCTACCAAGTAACACTAATGCTCTTATAGCGATCTCCAAGGTCGCTATAAAACTATAATAAAACCAGTATAAGATCAATAGGGCATTAAGAACATTACAGTACATTATTTGCATAAGAATAAGTAGCCTTTAAGAACTTTTAGTTTATCTTAAGGTAACTTCAAAACCAATATCGTTTTATTGAACATATTGTTACTTACGTAAAACCAATAAGTTTTATACAATAGTTTTGTGTTTCGTTTTTTAAAAGCAAAAATATAACATTTGATTTGTTGACTAATACTTTGTTTGGGTAAACTTTTCTTATTGGTTGATTGGATTTTTTTGGTAATATTGTTGTTCGAAACATTTCACTCGTAACGAACTTAATTCCATGTCAGTTTTACGATTGTTTTCTTTGTCAACGACTTATTTGTTATGTAATCTGGTTAAAACATTTTAATAACAATTTCTTGCGGTAGCATGAAAATGGTTTTGTGTTCGATGCACCGTTATTTCTATAACATGGTGCTCAAATAAATTTCATTTAACCACAACGTGAATTGCAGATTCTGTATTTTTAAGAATTTAGGTTATAATAGTGTGAAACTAACAGTTATTCGCATCAGATTTATTAGTAAACTAATTATATTTATAAATTACATTGCCATTCTTAAAATGTCTATGGCATATAATGCATAATATTTTTAGGATATTAATTCTACGAAATTCTTAGTCAGCTTCCGCAATTCCAAGAAAATAAATAAATATTTGAATTATTTTAGTTATGCATTTCATGCATTTTGTCAATCATGTGATTCCCTAGAGAAATATATATTTCAAATATTCATTACATTCACAAATTTTAAAAAAGTTTTAATATGACGAAGTTTTCTAATAATGATGACAAATCTTATTTACCATATTAAACAGAATTAATTTTGTTTAACATGCAAAATAAAAATAAAATATCAAAATAATAAATTACATAGTAAAGTTACTTTTTACTTTCTCTTTGATCTTGGTTAAAATTCTCTTTGGCTTTTATGTATTGTATTCCATTTTTGTTTGTGAAAAAATGTCACAAGACCCATTAAAATATAACGTTAAAGCCATTTAATTGTTATGTGCTTAAAGCACTTTATGTAAATGTATTATTGGAAATTATATTTTGTTTTATTTTATGAATGTTTTAATGCAAAATTTAATAATTTCCATAGGCAAAATTCCCAAATCTTATTTTGAAAAAATACATAAAAATTTACAAAAAAGACTGCTATCCCAATTAACAATTTATATTACCTAGGGTAATGATAAATTATATAAAGGTTTTATAAGAGTTGTCAAATTATATAAGAGTTTAACAAGGTTTTATAAAATCGTCATTTAGTTTACTAGTTTTATAATGGTCATATGAGGTTACTGTAAACTCTATATATAATTAGGTTATATATATAACCTTTAGTAACCGTAACCAGTAGGTTTATAAAGGAGTTTTATAATTATTAATTATTACCAAAAATGTTTAGTAATTGAAACAGAAATTATGCATAGTATTTATTAGCTTTCGACGCAATGCTTTGTTAAATTTTTTAAACCATTATGAGCGGTTGCCTATCAAAAGTTTTATAACATCACTTGTAGTAACGACAGTTACTACAATGTATATAAGTTTTAAAATTATATAATAACACTTTAAGTAACTTAGATAGTCCTATAAAACTGAACTAGTACCTTAGGTTATATAAAATTACCATGACAATATAAGAGGGCTCATGGTTGATACATTCTTTCCGCCATAATTGTTTTTTACATAAAATAAATGTTAATCGAATTGTATTACAAAAAAACTTAATTGGCTCAAGCAAGGTAAAAAGTATTTATGTTTTGGTATTTTGATGTCCCGTGATGTTTTTTGAAAATATTCACGTGGTTTAAACAAGTTAATTAGTGTTACTAAAATTGGTACCGATAACCTTTATAAACTCCACAAATAAGCTCTTTAAGGGGTATATAACAGTGATATAAATATTTATGTAACCAAATTAAGAAATTAGGTTTTATAATCTGGATGACCACTATAAAAAATGTTTAATGTGATTCATGCTGATTAGTTTTAATATTTTATATAGTATTGTTTGTTTTTAAATAGACACCCTATATACCTTTAGGTATATATTGGCATACCATTTGTTGTTCCATCGAAATGGACCACCATTTTATTACTCGGTCTCCATAAATTGTATCTTTAATGCTTATTACAAGGTTTTGCGAAATATTGCTCACTTTCTCGTTTTATATTTTAGGTGTTTAAAGTCAATTTATATTGGTGTCGATATAAAAGTACAGTCAATTTATCGGCAGTTATTTTTTGACCTTCGTTAAAAATTGGCATTAAATGTCGCATAGATTTTATTGGTAATAAATAATTTTTATTTATAGGCAAAGTTTTTTTTATAAAAAATAACAAAATCAACATACTGTATACTGTGAATTTTCCCTATAAAACCTGTACTTTTTAATTGCGAGTCTCAAATAGGTATAGCGAGATTCAAAGCGTAAAATTACATTCATTATAAATAAAATCATCATTATTACAGATTTAGCCTATTAACTTCCATCATAATCTTGTTATTATTATGCCAGATATATCTGTAGGTATATAAAATTCCTATGGGAACAGTTTTATAATCGAAAAATTAATTTACAACAAAACAATAAATTTATTAAGGAATTTAACAATAAAAGGACAATGACTTGAAGCCTTACGTGGTTAGATTTAAGTATATGCACTGTACATATTATGTGGAATATTTATATTATACAGGGTGTCCCTGTTTGACCTAAAATAAAAGTGAGATAAAAAGCCATAAAGATTCAAATTTCCAATTAAAATTAAAATAGATCTTTCAACAAAAAAACACTGAATAATTCATAAGTTGAATGTCACTAATTTTACATGTAAGTACTTAACATAATTTTTGATTCAACATAATCACATCACCTTAGGTGTATAATTATTAATTTCATGGTGTATTATTAAACTTTTACTTGTTAAGATTAAAAGTTACAACATATTTGTAAGTTTGTCAAAATATGTAATTGGACTTTCTAATAAAAATGCTTGTAAAAAGCTGTAAATTATATGTATATTTTTATCGGTGTGAACCTTTGTGATAATGAGAAAGCTAGACAGTAATTTTAAACACTAATTAAATTAATCCGTTAGCATAAGGAAGTCAGAAAATGGAATTAAAAAATTTATTAAAACTGGTCGATGCCTATTTTGAACCCGTAATAATTATAATTAAAAACACCGGATATCTTTTTGCGTTTTTTGTTCTACGCAACTATAATTAGATCATTTATTTTGAGTTGGTTGGAGTTGGAGAAAATTAAATGAAGATTATCTACAATAGATGACACGCTACGGGGCACGAAATAATTAACAGTTTAATTATGAGCAAAACATTTGTGAATGATATAACAAAAACCAACAGTACAGTTCGTTGTTATGGCAATGAATTGTTTTAAAAACACAAGAGATTCGAACAATGGACTTAAATAGTTTGAGTGGGCGTTGGAAGGCCTCGATGCAAAGCTTTAAAGTCGTTTGTGTTATCAACGATAGGAAAGGGTCCAAGGTGTGGACCTTGTGGCATTACGTGGTTTTTGTTGAAATGAAGTTAAAATTCAATGTATAGTTTTTTACACAAGTTGATACCATTTAATTTAATTGAAAGCATTCTAAATATTGTTATATTTAAAAATGTCATAGCCACTAATAATTCTCGTCAATAGCAATTTGTATCCCGAACATTTAGCAGTGAATTTCCATGTAAAATTGTTCCCTGAATCCGAAAATGCCGTCAAAAGTTGAAAAAGTAGAAAAGTTTTTGAGATATAGTCAATTTTCCATTTACTATGGAATTGACTATATCTCAAAATCTGCTCTACTTTCATAATTTTTTACGGTATTTTCGGATTCAGGGGACAATTTTACATAAGAATTGGCTGTTAAATTTTGGGATACTTGGTTAACCATGGTACAATTAATTTTTAGAGAGTTAAGCTTAGATTTACATTTTTGTCGTCTGTGCTAATCTTTATTGTAAAGGGTCCAAGGTAGGATCCTTGAGGCATTTTCATTATGATATTTGCGAAATGGTGTTTGTTTGAGTAACATAGGCTACTTTTATCTATTTTGTAATGTAATGAGATACTTTATCCCACCCAAAATTTGATTTTATAGTTAAACAGCATAATATTTTGCATATTGGTTATAATATTTTTATGATTTTTCTAGACTTTTCTGGCAATAAATTTTGTTTAACACCAAAGAAAATCTTTTTTTCTTCTTTAACATTAACAGCCGCTTATTGCAAATAAGTAAATTAAGGACGGCATGGCGAATCGATTTTGACATTAACTGTCAAACCAATGACTGTGATACCAACTATCTAAAGTAAAATTCGACCAAATTAAATTCAAGGTAAGGTTACAGAATTTTTTCAAAATAGAGAAAACAGCATAAAGAACTCATGTCATAAGACCTTTTGTCGCACTCGTCCTTTAATATACTATTTTGAATTGAAAATCCTATTCTAGCAATCGATTATTGATTTCAACATATAAAAATCTAATTAGGTATTTATTTAAAAAATACAATTCATAATTCCATTATTTGAATTCTAGAAATTTATGGCATTTAGTTTTACCGGTGATCTTAATCAATTGTGTTACAATAGACAGTAAAGGGTCCAAGTTATGGATCTTGAGGCATGACTGCAAAAGTTAAATTTTAAAATACAAGCGATGTTAACATTCTTTATAACTTACTTACTTACAACATATGAGGCAGAGGAAAAACGAACTTTTACCTTTTTTGGAAATGAAATTAACCTGGTCTAGCAATATTTGTTTGGGATGCTTTATGTATTACATTAATAGTAAAGGGTCCTAGTTATGAACCTTGAGGTGGTTCGACATAGCTTAGGTGGTAAACCTTTGTTACGGTTTGGGTGTTGTTACCTTTGGTTGGGACGACAAAGTTCCAAGTGCATATTCACTATGGGTTAGGGGCACCCGCGATATAACTAACTAGGTATACAATAGAGGAGGCTTTGCTGCGATAAACACGGGGCATTCAACTTTGTTGTGCAGGTTCACGGCAATACCTATACGCGCGTTTCGACTTAGGACGCGTGTATTTTTGTGCGGCCGTTGCTAACGCGCCCTCGTTCGCTCGAAGACTGACTGAAGAACGCAAAACTGTTGCGATCGGCGCGCGAGCCACCGGCTAGTGCACCTCCACCTTCGCACAGTGGACAAAAGTCGACCCAGAACGGCCAAAAACAATTTAGGTCGTTTAACAACTGAAAAAATCCAAATTGAAGTTCCTATAGAAAAAAACATTAAAATTTTAAGTTTTATTCATCTATCTATCTATGGGTGAATATTTTGAGATGTCCCCCAAGTGAAAATGATTATTTTTTATTTTTGGTGGTTTCACTTGTTTTCAGAAATCATACATTTTGAATATTAGAGCTTCACGGAAGATAGCTTCACGGAGGTTAGGATTTCGTATGTTTTTTTTAAACATCCCTTTGTGTATTTGAAATAAGTTATCGTATCTTTTGACACCTTAATATTTTTTAAAAATACAATTGGACATGTACTAGGGTGGGCCGATTTTAATATTTTTCAAATATCAAATTGTGCAATGGTGGAAAAGTTGTGCATTTATAAGGCCAGAAAGATCTTAATGTAATTTAGTATCGTTATAAAGAGAGAAAATAGGGTTAAAAAAAGTTTTGAATGAAAAATATTTATTAAAAAAAAACAAAAATAAAAATGAATTTATCATCAACACAAATTTAATTCAATTTATAATCCTGTTTTACCTGCCATTTTTCACAAACGCCCAAAAACCAAAACAGATACTACTTGTAAAAATTTCTATTATTCAACTAATTAACGATGTCAAAATATTATAATTTATATAAACTGTTACAGTAAAGCCAACTGTCAACTGTCCTACGTCAAACACGAAAATCTTAAAAAATATTTATTCTCCATTTTACGCCGTCTCTCCAATAATTGCAATTATTGCAAAATTTAAAATTTACAGTTTGACTTCATACAGTTCAAAACATTAAAAAAGAAAAAAAATATTAAAGGAAAATAGTTTACTTTCCTATTTCACAACACGCTTATGAATAATTTTAATTTTTTTAAAAATTACTTTTAAATTTTTATAGAGGCGTTGGGGCAGTTCAAAACATATAGATATCAAAAAAAATATTTTGCAAAAAATGTTTACTTTCCTATTTCACAACTTTTTCTTAAATGCAGAATTATTATTTTTAAATTTTAGAAGTTAAATATAGAATCGGCCCACCCATATTATGTACATAAAATATTTATATAAAAATCTACTTACTGAGATATTACACTTCACGGTGAATAGGTTTTTAAATAGCAAATTAACGAACTTAAACTTTTGAATGATAAAACAGCAACACTCTCATCTGCATATAAATTCACAAAATCACATGCATCTATAATGTCGTAAACAAAGGTTTTTGCTTATAATTTAAAATGATTAAAGCGCCATCCGTTGCATAAAATTTAAAGAGAAAACAGATTCACGGAGCATAGAATCAATTTTTGTAACACCTACATAAACGGTTATAAAAATTATTTCTTTTAATTTTTAATAATATTTTATATTTTATTCGATTACTTTGGATGTCTTTAATTTACTTAGTGAACTGATATTACTACCTCAGATATTTGAAAACATATAGGTTAACCTAGAAAGAGTAACAGTCACGGAGGATAGGTTTTAGACTTTTAAAACATTGTAAAAAATAATTAATTGCGGTTAAAAATTTGGAACCTGAGCTGTAATATCTACTTAATTATGAAAGATCAAAACACAATAAAAGTGTAAATCGCCGCTACTGATTCAATTAAATTAAAATATGTACAAGATCAAGATTTTTAATGTATAAAAGTAGTCTTGAAATTTTAAAATGGTATTTTTAATAGTTTTTAAAATAACTTTTCAATCATTTAAACCCTTATAAAATCGCCGCTACTGAACTAATTGAATTAAAATTTGCAAAGGACCAAATATGTGGAGTTAAAATTTCATAATGATATTTTTATTCGTTTTTTATTAATTGATTTTTGCCACTTTTTGCCATTGCAGTCCACTGTGCGTCGGCTTAAAATCCGCACTATGGGGGAGATTAAGATTTTTGTTTATTTCAATTTTCTCATGTCATAGTGCGTAAAATGATTTTAAATTGGTGCGCTGTATGGCTGCATAACTGAAGCAGCATTCGAATGCTCAAGAAGTAAGAAGTGTAAGTAGTTATACCATACATAGGATCTACTCTAGAGAGTCTTGTAGTTCAATGAGATCTCCGCCTTTTCAACGCACGGGATGGAGTGCAAAGAAGGAACTGCGGAGGAAGTTCAACATCTTTTTTTCCTAATTGTTTCCTTTTGTACTCAACAGACGGAAGATCAAGATTATGTCGTGTCACTTTTTCCACTCGTGCAAATTTTATGCCGCTTTTTCTTTTGCATGGAAAATTACTGTTTTCATACAAGTTTACTCGAGGATTTATTGAATTTATTATGAGAGAGCAGGAAAATTTTATTCATTGCTCTTAGCTCTTACATCCTGGATTACTATAGCTGAAAACTATTTTCATATTTTTAATCAAAATCAAGGCAGGAAGTCGTACATTTTAGATGCTTTAAGTTATTAAATTTAACTTGAACCATAACGAGATTTATTAGGCTTGCGAGCGAGTGTTAATAAAAACGAGTGCCTAGAGGTTTATAAAACGAGTTGCATTCTATACTTTATCTACGAGGAACAAGCCAATTGTATCTAGTGTTTATTATTGGTCTCTTTTGGGTTTGCCTTACGCATTTGTTGTTGACAGATTTATTGTCCTACGCAGTGTGCCTTTCTTAGGGTTTTAAAGATATCTGTCGTGTTTAATTTGCAGATTATGTGTTAGTTCATGCATATGCTTAAGGATACTTATCAATTTTTTGCGGATGGCACCTCCCCTCTTGTTTGACCTCCTTTGTTTGTCCAGTGAAAAGCGTCCAATGACAGGTGGCACTTAACTCATTCATATCACTTAACACTTCACTCCTCATTGACCGTAACACCATTTTAGTTTGCACTCTATGAAAATTGTTTGTTTCACTATAATTGGTTTGCACTTTTTAAAAATTATTGTTGGTGGTGCCTTCTCAAGTGCTGGAACCTGGAGTAATTGGTTTGACAGTTAATGTCAAAATCGATTCGGCATGCCGTCCTTAATTTACTTATTTACAATAAACGGCTGTTAATGTTAAAGAAAAAAAAGGATTTTCTTTGGTTAAACAAAATTTATTGCCAGAAAAGTCTTGTAAGTACTAGAAAAATCATTAAAATATTATAACCAATATGCAAAATATTATAATAAAGTCATTATAAACGCAATTTTTTTTTCGAAATTAAATTTTGTCCCTGGTAATTGGCGTAACCGAGAACTGTGTAATGTGTGGTGCTGACTGATGTAATTACTGATTTTGCCGCACAAAATTTTCGTAATTAATACATGGGATTGCGAGCACAATGAAAATCGGTAAGCAAAGGCTTTGTAACTAAATCATCAAAGTGGCCAGGTTTGAGAAGGGTTCGAGTTTACACAAAACATGCCGACGAATGACAAAGTTAATGATGGTAGATCATTTTCCCTAATAAAACACATATCTACAACTTTACCTGGGTTGTTTGTTCTTGTAACATTTTGCGGGTGTGTATTTGGTAATTCATTAAAATTAATTGAGCCTATTAGGCATTAACTTTATACAACTTTGAATATAAAATTGTTCTATACTAAAAAGTTTTAATAAAAGTAAACAGTACAGAGATTAGCCCTTTTAGAAACTGTATACCTTATTTTAATTATGAATTACAATAGTATATGCTTTTGTAGCAAGATATATACAGGGTGTTATGTAATTAATGTTATATATTAAAATACTGAATACCTTTTGACATAAGGAATAAAGGAAAAATATTTTAAAAAGCATTTTTCCAAAGATAAAGAAAAAATATGCATTAGAAGTTTTTTATATTTTTTGTGATACGCCACTGGTTACACACTTGTTTATCTCTGCACACCTGTATTTTGTGAGTACATAGATACCAACCAACAAAGTAGCTATGCGTTGCCAGATGTAAAAAATTGTTACTAAAAATTTTTCTTGCAAAAAATAAATAAAAACTCAATAAATACAAAAGTTTTATGCCCTTAAAGCTCTAATACCCTTCTGTATTTATTTACTGATCCAGCTATTAGCTTAAGCAATGATTAGAAAATTTAGTACCTTTCAAATTTGAAATCCATAACCACAAAATGAATTTTTTTCATCAGTTTTTTTCTCTGTTTACTCAGATAAAATTGGGACCAGTTCACAGGTTAAACTTTAAACATTTAATTTGTGTAAATAAATCCAAAAGCACTTCCCTTAGTTAAGATATTTACAATTTGAAAACATAACCTAAAATTTAAAAGAAATGCACTAGATTCTGTCATAAAAGTTGGCAGATTTTGTTTGAATTTACCTTCAGTACAAAAATGAAATAACCAACAATTAATAAAAACGCCAAATTGACAATTTGCATTGTTAATTTTGTCATTTTTGTTATTAAGCTAAATTTAAACAATGTTTGTCAACTTTTTTGAGAGATTTTGGAAACACTGTTACCAACCATAACATAATAAATCCACCAGATTAACCTAAAGTTCCTAGTCGATCAGTGGCGTACTTTTTGGTAGGATAAAGGTTATTATAAATTATTTTTAGACTTTGGAATTTAGAAAAAAAAAGTTTCAGGTGCTTCTTTATGGACCCTAAGGAACAACCCATTTTAATATATAACATTAATTACATATCACCCTGTATATATACAGTCAAATTAATTTTTCTCTATACACAGTAAAACATCTATATGTAGCAGATATTTTCCAAATCAAATAAACTTTATGATCAAATCATTATTATATCAATAGTGTAAATTACTGAAGCAGAAATGATGTAAAAACGAAATAGCATTATTTTCCGGTCTAGCAGCTGTGTTGTATCAAAGTTAATTTATTGTTTACGATTTTTTCGTTCGAAATCACTCAGATATTACTTGGGAAACATTTTTTTTATTTCATCTGTACTGTGA